TTATCGTTGATTGCGGCGCAAATATAAATTTAATTTTGGCGGGCTTCGGACTGAAATACTCCGACTAAAAATAGAGATCAAATTTTCTTGATTGACATTCTCCTTTAAATCATGGCGTGTAAATTGACAAATCTGTCAGATTTCACGCCTGACAAAAATTTGTCCTGCTCCGTGGCAGGACGACGGCGTCTTCGAAGTTTGGTAAGCTTTGACAAAATTTGGTAGATCTAAAAATCACCGGACGCACTTGTCTCAGGGAATTGATAACAGATTTTTTTCGCAAAATAGACAAAAATTTGCCCAGTGCGTCTGGGCCCTGACTGAAACAAACTAGATATCTGCACTTATCAACAATCTGCATTTATGTTTATCAGTAAGATAAGCAACTGATAAATTATCTGCAGCTGGTTGTTCCACTTTTTAGTACGTACGTCTTCTTGTTTCACGCCCCCGCTAAATCAACAGCAAAATATCTCATTTTGGACGCAACATGAAGTAAGTGTGTAAACAGGAACTTGCATCAACCAAAAGTAATGATGAGTGAAACGGGGAATCGAATAACGTTCACCCAATTCTTCAGCTTGACCTCCCTTGTTTCATGTTTTCCTTATGCCGCATTTTCATGCCCTTGAACATCAAGTGAAAGCTGGCCTACCCCCATTTCCAAAAATAAAATAAAAACCTATAATAGTTCTCTTTCAGTTTATTTGTTTTCATCATCAGTCCTGCTTCCCCTTTTCGTTTTTCTTATTACGTAACTTGTTCAGTATCTTCAAAAACTTTATCATTTTGAAGACACTTTTGATGTGGAAATTAACACGTCTTTACCACAAAGGGTACTGCACGCTTTTTTTCGCGTGGTCAGGTGAAATATTTCAAGATAATCCTTGTCTTTGTACGCATATAAATCAACAACAACATACCACTCGAGCCAAGCGGCATTGCGGCGAAGTATTACAAGCAGTTCGCGTCATCAAATCGTGTTTAGGATATCATACTTATTAGAAAGATGAGTCGCACGAATGTTCCTTTGGAAGTGAATATAAATAGGGCGGACTGTAAAAATGAAAATGTGACGCCAGGTTGCTCAGAGAAACTAATAATATTTAGAAGCACTTTTACGGGCAATGGGTTTAGCAATATTAACATTTTATAGCACGTGACAGTGACGTGACTTGCAACAAGCAATTTTTTGTTTGATGTCCCCGTAGGCGCCCCATACTCAGTCTGGAGATCTATTCTTACGTTTATTTTATAATGCAAATAATTGAAATTTCTAGAACACTGACTTTGTTGTTTATTTTGCTTCATCTTAATGCCGACGCTACAATGAGACTGGAGGGTTTTACGCTGCTACTCTGGGCTGAGCTTCTTCCGGTGTCGTAAACTAGCAAAGAAAGATGTGAAGCCCAAAATGTTTTTGCCAGTTGTTTCCGTTCTTGTTATTTTGTCAATGATACGCAGGCGATGAAAAATTGACTCTATAGACAAATTTTGTCAATCATGTTATCAATGTAACCGTGTAAAAGGACAAAACTTATTTCCGATAACAATCGATAATAATCGATACCAATCGATGAATCAATCGTGAATTGTCGATTACTACTATCGGCAATGGATCCGGATAACACAACTTTTCTTCTTCATCAATTTCTATCGCGACTGCTATCGGCAATTGGTGTTAATCGAGATTGATATCGATTAATACCGTTAGTCGATTAATATCGAATATCGATTTATCGATTTACTTCGTCTGGGATTAATTAATTCTATTTATTTTGGGGGGTGACGCATGAGAGGTAAATATCAATCAAAAAGCAGTGAACTCGAACCAAGTGTGACGTATACACTGTTTGACTGCCGTGATGAAAACAAATTCAACCATCATTAATATCCCGGCATTGTAAGTTTTATGAATATTAAATTAATCAAGCAACACTTTCAATTTTGTTTCTCAATTATCCTGAGCTGAGGAGGACATATATGGTTAGAAGACCAGGTAAGCTAGTCATTTTCTATCCTACGATAAAGTTCTTATGTCTTGCTGTGAATGCACCGTCCGCAACTAGAGTAACGAGCCATTAATATAAAGGTTTTAGGGAGAATAATTAGCTACTGTTTGGTATCGAAAGAACACTGTGCAAATTTGTGATGTGTATACATTTTACGAAGAAGCAATCAAACTTAGAACTGAGCCGTTGTTTTAGACTGCTAAAGGAAATGAACATGCATCCGCGTTCTTTGAGAGTTGACAACTAACACCGGCACTCAGAATAACTCAGCTGTGGCGGCTAAGTGATGCCATCTGACGAAGGGTTATATTATCGCTTCGAAACCGTGTTTCATAAGAATCTTGTTGCAGAAGTAGATTATAAGATAACAACTGTGAGAGGCCAGTGGGTTCTCTGCCGTTGACGAGGACACATAGGATAGCGGCCTAGGAACATGACTCAGTCGCTATTGACTACTGATTGTCAAGCTCAAAATAATATCATAGTTACGTCATGTTATTTACTGCGTTGATACTTGGATGCTAACAGCTTCCTAACTGATTTATCATTTATCGGAGTTCATATTCATAGCTGTCAGCCAAAATATGAAATCAAACAGTAGAAAAGTTTTAAAACAGCAAAGAGATGAGGAAATCGCTTACGCAACAGACACAAACTACTATTCCGGGGTCACGTCAATAAATTTACATCGAATGTTCGGCTAAGTCTCTGAGACAGGAAAAAGGAATTACAAATCTGCGAGCCTGTTACTAACGATTATTTCAGAAAAAGATGTCCCATTCCAGACAGTAAGGATACACATTTAGGACCTGCTTGTGAATGGTGGATAGTCAAAACCGCCAGTTCTGTAATTTAGCGATCAAGCAAGACGGGAAGCGACTATTCGGGATAAATACTCGATCGGGAATAATTATGGATTTTGAAGTAACATATATATGAAATCGATACTGTTCCAGAAATAAAAGCAGAGTTAAAACAACATGCGCTTAATTTAAAAAGACAAGTAAACTATTGTTGTCTGGGAGTGCTCTCCCATGTTGATAATTACATTCTTGTAGCATAACGTTGTTGTTTTAATTAATACAGGAACATCAGTTGTTGCGTTCAATGACAAATAGCATCCCGAACATTTTAAGTGATGAAATGCATAGTACGTTGCTGATAATGTTAACTTAAGTGAATAATTAACCTGCGGATAATATACATGTTAATAAAAAGTACGTGCACGGCTAAAAAAGGCTTTCGACTTCGCGATGCGAGTTAAATTAATGGTGTTGGTGAATGCATGATTGGTTGCATGCAATAAGAGTTAGATATTAGAGGTCTGCAATGCGTACACATGAGTGTTTACTTAGTGCATTTGCATGTTTCTTTTGCAAAATAGGTAAATCTGTATTAAGCATGTTAAGCATGTTAAGGCCCTGTAAATCATTGATAGTGCACAATAGCTCATCCAAAATGATTATGTAACATTTGCATTAGTATCATAGAGTTCTAATATAAAAATCTATAGAAACACGGCAAATGACTTTTTTTGGGAGGAGGGGGGGGGCGCATATAAATTATTTTGCTCGTACTTTCCTTTTTTCTTCGTAGTTGCAGTTTTATACGGTTGCAGCCCGTCATACATTGTTGCATTGATAGCTTTCCATCACAATGCTGCCACTTGGTTTAGTTTTTACAATTTTTCCCGGTCTTTTCTACTGCCAGGAATGCGTACCTTCGGATCAAGTTATTTACGGTAAGTAATAACAAACACAAAACCCTGTGACAGAGGTAACTAAAGTTGTTCTAGGAAAATAGCATCACTTTTGGCTAGCTAGCGTGGCATTTACCTGTCACAAGTGTGTTCTTTTTTTTTTTTGATTGCTAAATCAAGACGTGGCTGTCTGGCTGTAAGATTTTATTCGATGCGACGAATTTTACTCTTTCATTAAACTGCCTTCCACAGACAACCAACTTTGAGACAAGATCACATACCTTAAGGCTTATTTTCACTAGCGACGGAGTCAGAGTCATCATAGTCGGAGTCAATAGAGCGCTTATGACTTAGTGAAAATCAAAAATCGGAGACGTTGGCGCAGTCAGAAGTTCGAAGGAATCGGAGAGTGAAGAATCAGAACATTCCCATTTCTTCCGATTCCGTTTACGATTGCGTCGTTTATGATCCAGTGAAAGCTACATTGTAGAAGTTGAAAGCAGAGCTGAAGAACCAACCAATCACAAGGTCGACCGCGGAATCGAGCAGTTGAGATTAGTCTTCATCAGTTCATGCCTCCGAATCCGACAGTGTAGTTTTCACTAGATCGTAAGTGACGGAGTCATAAGCGGAATCGGTATTCTGCTTCCGACTTCGTTGGTTTGATTTTCATTAGGTCGTTTCACTGTAATCTGCGCCTCTGATTACGACTCCGACTCCGTCGCTAGGTAAAACTAGCCTTTAGCTATGGCGACGTCTTTTAATCCACACATTTTTGAGCAAACACATTGCCATCAAACTCGTGTAATTATTATGTGAAGCTGCTCCTACTTCTACTTCATCGATGTGCAATCTTAGCTTCCTCTGGTTTGTTCAGTATAGCGCAGATCGACTCGAGTCTTTGTAATGTTACTAGAACTAGCTATTTCTTGCCTGTAGCTAACCACTCTCAGCATCAGGCTGGGCTTTTGGACCTTCTGAACAGGGCCGGGGGAAGTTAGGGACTGCTTCAGAGTGCCCCGCGTCATTTAACTTCAAAATCGTTTATCATATGGGCACCACTTGAATTCTAACAATTAGGTATAACTTTTACTTATTCGCACGCAGTATGTCGAATATAAACGTTAACTTCTAAATTTTGTCGTTCGAAATGGAATACATTGGAATATATTTCGATCATGTTTGAAGAGCCACCAAACCTATATTCAAAACTTGAAACGGGTTTCGTAAACGTTACAATGCGGGTTAATTTGACTTTTTTTTTACTGGTAAAAAAAAAAAAGAAGTTATGGACAAACAGTACCTTTTCATGCTTTTCAACTACGTGTTTTATAACAATTTAAAGTCTACTAACACTTTGATGATCATTAGCAGCAGCAGCAGCAGCAGAAGCAACAGCAATGGTAATGACGTCTTCAAAGGGTCATACATGTACATATTCTAGCTCTATAACTTTTCATTTTAAATTGCAGATCCTTTGGCACCTTCCCTAGGGATACGGGTGTTTTCCGATTACAGCAAACTGATACTGGCCGGTCACAATTTCAGTGTAGCTTGCACCAGTAACAAGTCTAAAGAATACCAAAATTATAGAGAGGACGCCCAGCCCCAAGAAATTAGCATGTTTTTTGGAAATAGTACGCCGAGAAAAGTGTGCGGTTCAGCAGGCGAGCCAAAAAAAGACACGAAAACGTGCACTTTGGTCATCTCTAATGCTACACTAGGGAGTTCTGGCTACTATAGTTGTATGGCAACGAACTCGTGGAGGTGCACCACAGCCACGATCTTTGTAAAGGTTGAAGGTAATTCCTTTTCGTTGTGACAAACATTAATAATATGCAGCAATATTCCCAAATGAAGTTTTTTTTTCTTGACTCAGAAGATGACTTCCGCTCAGGTCGTCGAAACGTCAGTCAACAACAGTTCTTTTCAGAACTACCCTCACCCAGACGATCACACTATACGAACTACTGATACTCTTGGGTTCAAACCATTTACTATGTTATGTTCACCTGGACGACAGAGCGAGCGCGAAATCTCGTGACTCTGAAGAAGACCTCCGCTCAGGTTGTCGAAACGTCAGTCGCCAACAACAGTTCTTTTCAGAACTACCCTCACCCAGACGATCACACTATACGAACTACTGATACTCCTGGGTTCAAACCATTTACTATGTTATGTTCACTTGGACGACAGAGCGAACTCGAAAATCTCGTGAATCTGAAGAAGACCTCCGCTCAGGTTGTCGAAACGTCAGTCACCAACAACAGTTCTTTTGAGAACTACGCCTACCCGGACGATCACACCGTGCATACAAACTAATAATAAGCAGCATGCATGATCGTGAAGCAGTGCTATAACTTTGTTGCCTATTAACAAACGCCCGATTTGATAACAACTGAATTTGGGAACAGAGCAGTTAAAAATCCCCCATTTCAAATTATATGCTAACACGTTAAAAATCTGCTCGTACGAACGATGTTTAGGATTAAACTAAAAACTCACTCTCTCACTTCACTGACTCGTTCGTTTGTGATTCTTCACAACTTGTAAATTAAATTGTAAGCTCACCAACCATAAAACAATTCATAAATGTCTGGGTGCTGCACTATAATGAGAGCTAGCCTAACACGATAACTCCGACAAGCACATGAACATGCCGGGAACTGTCGTTAATCCATCCGTCTCCTTCGAATAGATGTAAAGTAAAAGTAACGTCTGCACACCAGCCAAGGGGCCCATCAGGCCGGTGCTTATCCCAGTTTCTTTAGCATAAAGCGACTAGGATGTGTATTTCTACTCCCCGCCCCCTCTCCATAGATGGAATGCTAGTCCATCACCGGGTTACCTCCAGCATTAAGTTCGCCGGTACCCATTTATACCTGGGTGGAGAGAGGCACCGTGAGAGTAAAGTGTCTTGCCCAAGAACACAATTCAATGTCTCCGGCCAGGGCTCGATCCCAGACAGCTAGATCTGGAGACGAGCGCACTAACCATGAGGCCACCGCGCCTCCCTCTCAAATAGATGAAAAAGGTTAGGTAAACTTTTAAAACCACGATATTTCCTATCATTCACCGATTGGCTACAATCATAGCAATCATAACAACATGAGCTCACCAAAAATTAATCTTAATTTTCTTAAATGCTGAATTTCTAGAACCGTCCCCACCAAAGGTTACAATTTATCCAATGGGAAAACAACTGAAGATTGCATCCGGACGCCATTTTAACTTAAGCTGCGAAGCAGAGGGGGCTCCCCCACCAAGCATAACTTGGTTTAAGGATGGAAGTCGCCTTACGAATACCTCAATTAAAAATGTCAGAGAGACCTCAGTTATGGCTTTCACGCCAGTCCGACCAGAAAACCGAGGACATTACTGGTGTGAAGCAAACAGCACGGAAGGACGGACGCAATCGTCTGCGGTATTTTTGAGAGGTATTTTAAAAAATAAATAACTGACAACCTCGAACATATATCTGAGCTGTGTGAACTGGAGTATTCTTTTATCTTCTTAACTGTTCTTTTCTTAACCGCAGTTATGAGGAGGCCATATTTTGTCATACATCCTGAAGATGTTTCAGTTTACGAGGGACAGAACGTCACTTTGTTCTGTGGCGCGGCCGGTTTCCCGGAACCAGTGATTGGTTGGTTGAAAGACAATTTGTTAATCGACAACTTCTCTTCGGTTGGCGGAAACTCGTCCCTGGCTTTACGTTTCGTAGAAAGGCAAGCCACTAATGCCAAGTACAGATGCGTCGCCAGGAACTCTTTGGGCAAAACGTTCTCTTCAGAAGCGACATTGACGGTATTAACTCGACAAACAATAAGGAGTAAGAATTCCATGGCCATCCCGTAATTTAATTACCTACGTGCAATAGAATAGCAATGAAGCAAGGCTGATAACTACGTAGAAAAGTTAACTCGACAACGACTTGATAGAGTCGTAGTTATCAGCCTTGCTGATTGGTATTATATTTCTATTGTTGGTCGATCAGATCTTTTATAGATCCTACGTATCCCAGCAGCACTTTCGTTTGCGGTCCCATACCACATTTGTAATTACCTAAGCCGGTAGCTATCCCTTGAAAGTTGTATTGCAGTGGGAAGTCCATACAAAAGTTCGTAGAAAGCTTGACAGTGGCCTTAAAGGTTTCATATTAATAATACCACTGTCATACATCGTCTTTTAAAAAATAACTGAGCTACTACACGCGCTGTCATTGGTCGATAGGTGTGTTTAGATGAGAGTATGTAAACACGTTTGCGACGTTTTAAATTCGCGCGTATTTTCGAGAATATTATTTTATAAAAGCACGAAGCTATGTAAACACGGAAAAAGTGCTCTATTGCTTAAGTCCAGGACGACCACTCCATTCCTCTTGTCCTGTTTGAGCAGGGCAATGGACTGGTCCTACTTTAATTTCTTCAAAATGGGCAAGATCTTGTCTCATCTTGTCTTATCTTGTAAACGTTTACATTTCCTCTCACCGGCCCTCTCAAACTGATGTCAAGATCTTACTCATTTTGAAAAAAGATGTTTTATTGACATGTTCTCAGAGCTACCTTTGTCTGACGTATACTACCTTTTGTTTCAGACAACGCCAATGAAAAACCTTCGTCGACAGTCTTCAATCCTACATGGGCATGGCTTGGTGCTGTAGTAGCAATACTGCTTCTGTCGACGGCAGTGGTGGTTATAAGGAAATTCAAGCACGACAGACCTAACACGACAAATGAAGATGACCATGCGACACAGAGTGAGGTTATCACTGGTTATGCACGGTTTTGAAATCGCCATTTCAGTCATAAAACAATCAGCTCCAAAATCTGGACGGCTAGCGTCATATACCACATGGAAGCTGTTACTTACAAAACTTAGTTGAAAAACAACAACAACAAAAAAGTATATAATTATAGCGTCAACACCGAACACATTTTAACAGTGACTCAATTTTAACTGACTTGAATTTGCTTTCGTGTTGACGGTGTATGTATTTATTATTATTATTATTATTATTATTATTATTATTATTGAGGTCTTCCATTTGTGGTGCTTTTGTTTTTGTATAAATACCGATATGATATTATACTATAAGAAGAAAAAAAAAATAGCTTTACAATTTCTCACGCTCCTCCATGCTTACATTGTACTTTTGAAAAGTTTCACTGACAAGGAATTACGACGTTGTCCGTGGTATTGAGTTTTGAAGAGTCAGCGCTACGTAAATTTGCTACTTTTAATCGTCTCTAACGGATATCCTGGCTCAAAGTGTATTCATACATTGTTAGTTTATCAGTCTCAGACAACGTAGTGACGTCACAATTGATGACTAAGTGAACTTGGCGCCGAACACGTTACAGTAATCTAGAATCAAAGGAGGCCTATGGCCAAACTTGTGGATTAAGTAATCTAGAGATTAAACATGTTGGTGAACTTGCAATTATTGGTGTATTATTAAAGGCTGTTGAAACAAGCCGATCTCTTACCATGCAAGGTCGGACTTATCTCACAAAGTGCAGGCTTTTTTGTTGGCACCCATACTACAAACACATACGTCCAGAATAGCTAGGGTGGCAAAATTGTAGCTGAACATGGAGAGGTAAAGGTTCTTGGGTCACATATGACACTCCTTCCCAAAAAATCATAGAGTACCCCCCACACACACACACACACACACACCCACACACACACCCACGCACACCCACACACACACACCCAGATCTTGATGCTGATGTTTGTTTGCCTGCTGGGAAAATTTGCATGTATTCAAGTCGTACGAGCCTATAGACCTTATCAATTGCACTTCACTTAAGGCTATAGGTAAGGTTTCTTATCACATAGCACTTCTTTTCCGCTTGGAACCGCTTGTCTCTATATATGTTGCACGTAAAATACGTCAACAATACGACGCCCTAAGCCTTATAGTTAAAACAATATTTCGGCTGGCTTCAGGTTTAGATGTTATTTAATTTTTAATATAGATAGGACCCTGCGCGCGCTCTGATTGGTCGAAAACCCATCTTTATCAGAGTATAAAACATAGAAATAGCGTGTTTTATTGTTTTTCGCCGCATTGCCTCTATATCAACTCAAATGAAGAAGTCTAAGCCGTGTCTTACACTGTGATAAAACACGCCGGACATTTGGGAACACTCGAGAAATGTAGCAAACACGAGCCGCGGGCGAGTGTTTCCTACATTTCCTTCGTGTTCTCAAATGCCCGTCGTGTTACGTTTTATCACAGTGTAATACACGGCTTAAGCTTCTTTATTTGTCAAATAAACATGAAATTACAATATTATATAATGGTGCCGATGTTTGTCCTGTTTTCAGTGGCTGTTTCCTTCATTCCTTCGTTTCGCTCATATAAGTTCATTAAGGTATACGAATAAGACACTTTCTCATGTCACTTTCCAGCAAACAAATGCTCATCTCCCGGTCATGTTTAACGCCTGGACGAGTCAAATGCTCATGAAATTCAGCCTTCGAGTTGGCCATAATTATACTAATTCGAACATTCGAAACCAACTCCATTTCAATTTAGCGAAACACCTAATAATGGTTGTGTAAAACAATTCGGGCTGGCACGATGCACGCTTTGAGTAGTAACCGCACAAACACGAAGGCGAGGCTCGCGCTGACTGTACGGTAAATATTTCAACATGACGTCGGGCTTGGTTACTATTCCAACATGGCGTCGGGCTCGGTTACTATTCCAACATGGCGTCGCGCTCGGTTACTGTTCCAACATGGCGTTGGGCTCGGTTACTATTCCAATATGGCGTTGGGCTCAGTTACTATTCCAACATGGCGTCGGGCTCGGTTACTATTCCAACATGACGTCGGACTCGGTTACTATTCCAATATGACGTCGGGCACGGGCGCTCTCGTTCGGGCCGACTAATTACGAACAGCGTCTACACCTGAGTGAGTGAGTGACACATTTATATAGCGGAATCCCCCAACAAACGCGTTTCTACGCTGCGCGTATCCACGAGTTTAAAAAGGGCAGTTCGTATTTGAAACCAGCCTCGCGACAGATGTGGGCTAAAGAACCTGACTAGTTTTAAAAGCAATTGTATTGTGTAGCCCCCTGTGTGTGTAGTTCTGAGGGGAGAGCTATAAATAGTTAATCTGCACCAATTTGTTTTATTTTTATTTTTATTTTATTTTTATTATTATTCTTAACTTACCATCTTACCAATCGTTACCCGATCATAACCAACGCGGTTACCCTATCGTTACCCTATTATAACCAACGCGCATAACGCGGTGACTTGATTACCAGTAACAAACTTTTTAAACTAGAAAAGCTCAATTCTTTTCTGCAGTTTCAACTATTACTGATATATCGTTACGAACTAGTAAACAAAAGGAAGCTACTTTTAGAGCCAATATAAAAGCAAGACCATGAGTTTTGTTATGTCTACTGATAGGCGAGTTTCACAACCAAAAACAAAACATCACGTCTATGTTTGGATAGCTACACCTCTGAATAAGCGATGTCAGAATTATCGTAAAGGACAGGCTTTTACCAGCTTTAGTTTTTTTTTGATTGGATGAGAAACAAGGTCCGCGGATCCGGATGGCGTTTATCACGAATGTGAAATAGCTGCGCGATTCCTGCACTGCTACATCCCAGAAAGTCGTTCTGGTGGGAATTACTTTCGAACAACACGAAATTTCCGTACAGCCATGGAATGAGACGGTCATAATCATTCAATGGATCCTAAAGAGGCAAACAGTGATGAGTTTTATCAGTCCAAAAAGATCATTAAAACGCGAAAGCACAAGAAATTACTTCATCTTTGAAATAAAAGTGTTATGGTGAAATTTCCCTTGAATTTATGTTGACCACATAATTCTGTCTCTATACTTACAAGCGTTTTAATTTAATGAGGGGCTCTGAAGTCTGAACAGCCTTCCCCTACTCCCCCTGTCCCCCCGATCTGTATAGGAGATGACAATTCTGAAGAGTACTGTAGTTAATGGGAGGACTTGGGTCAGGAAATAACGAAAGGTGAGTATTATTATTTTTATTATTACTATTATTATTATTATTATTATTATTATTATTACTATTACTATTGTTATTATTATTATTATTATTATCATTATTATTATTATACAAGCGAATGTATGAAAGATCTTATATTTGAACTACGGAGAAAGTGTCAGAAAGGTATGAAGATCCGATTGATCATCGCAGTTGTATACACAACAGTAAGAAGTTGCAATTGTGAAATTAAAGCCTGAAAAAAAATTGAGGTTTGAACGGGATTCGAACCCATGACCTCTGTGATACCGGTGCAGTGCTCTATTAATTGAGCTATCAAGCCAACTGGGAGCGGGTCACTTTGTGAGCTCGTAATATACCCGTGGAAAGTGAAAATACAAGTGTATACGTGAAAGATCATATATTTGAGCTGCAGAGAAAGGGTTGATAGCTTAGCTGGTAGAGCACTGCACCGGTATCGCAGAGGTCATGGGTCAAATACGTGCTTCATAAAGGTGATGGTGTAATAAAAATTGTTATGTTCACAAAACAAAGACCAGGCCATAAAATAGCTACTGCATGTATGTAAAGCAACGTTAAATAGCTTCTCTGAATTTGCACACGGATATAAAAGCTACAATTGTAGCATCAATTAGTTTGGTGTAGAATTAGTGACAAAATGATCATGATGCAATTAAAATTTAGAGCCATCCAGGATTTGTTCCTCTTCAAATTCACCCATTAGCCGCCATTTTGAATTTCATCCAAGCGAAACGTGACGTCACACTGGCGGTGATGACTCAACCAATGTTTTGCTTAGAGACGCCCCCTCCCTCCTGCCTACAGGCTTATACAGCCCTTTTTTTCTGGCAATTTGCCTGCTTTAGTTATGATATGCTTTATACTACTCAAGCTTTATACAGAACGGGGTTGTGATGGGGTGAATCGACTACTTCGATATATACTTTTCAATGCCTAACTAAACCAAAAAAACAAAAAAAAATAGGTTATAACGCTTTTCCAGGTGGCCTGTTTCATGCTCTCGGTCAGTGGACACGATCAAAAAGCGGGCAGGCGACGAGCGGGATCAACGACGAGCGAGATCCTTTTATTTCTCTGAGCCCGCTCATCGCTTGCCCGCTTTTCCGATCGTCCCACTGACAAGAGCCTGGAACAGACTATTGTCGCTGTTCATGTGACTTTATCATTTTCCATAATAAGAATTTACCAATCCCTCTGAAGTTTTAGTTTGATCAGATGTAAGACCTTTTAATAACTTGATGTTTTGCAACGTTTAAGCTCGACAGGGTTCCTCATTTTGAAATAGGGCACGTTAGAATTTCCAAGTTTATGCGTTGTGTGACATTAAAATGGCGGTCCGATAAGGCTCTCGAGTAGTCAAAAAGATAAATAATTGCTCAAGTTTTTACTAACTAAACAGTTGTTGCTCTATAAGAAGTGTTAATTTCAACGTGTCGGAGCTCTAGAGTAATAACTTTTCGTTTCAATTGCAAAACTCGATGACAGATGTTTCTGTTACTTTACGGCCGCCATGTTTGTGTCCCTTCGAGGGGCACAAACATGGCGACTTCATACAAAGCTCTATAAATCTGAGAGAAACACTTCTCCGAATAACGGGAGAATGAAAAACTGCACAGACCTAAATCTTGGCGAGGGTGTTTATATATTAAACATCTTTCATATCCCAGCTTCTTGACTTAATGTATTGAATGGTCATGATTTTTATTTTTGATGGCGTCACGCTGCAAACCAGCCTTCTCAACCATGTGGGGTCATCATCCCTGAAAGATTGGGCGCTTTCCATTCAACCAAAAATTCTCGAAGTTTTCGAAACGGGGACAATTGGTACGGAAATTTCTAGGGAAAGGTTCCAGAAAGTTCGAAAATTGTTGAATTTCCGACAAAAAGAATCGTTGAACCAAAACTTCCGGAAATTACGGGATGAAAATCAAATGGAACGTATGGAACGGAAATTTCTAGGGAAAAAAAATCGAGAATTAGTTTATACTTCAGGAGGTTGTCCTCTTTTTTGGTAAATTATGTACGATAGCAATTTTCTATTCAGCGCTAGTTCTTTTGACGGCGATCTCAGCGAGTTGGAAATCCCAGGCGAAGATGACGCGACGCGCATTCGAAAATGGATTAATAATTTACCTTAGAATCTTGCCTCTTGTCTATCGATAAATACTAGTACAGCTAAATATGTCAAGAAAGCGTTTAATTCCACTAAAACAATACGACCCCGTGGTGTACTTGTTTATTTTTCGTTGTTTTACATAGGTTAGCTAAGAAATCAGTGTACGGAGATTTATAACGCGTGCAGAGCCATTGTACCACCCAAAAAATCTTTTGTTTCGCGGCGTTTTCGTTGCCGTTGTGAATTAAGAGCTTCTGCCTGAGAGACCGGGGCAGACTTGGAAATG